ATGGAATCCCTATGGGCAGATTTCTCTGTGATTTTTGCGACCTTCATAAAAGTTTCAGTACATTTAGGAAGTGCAATCCTTCCTCTACACGAATACGGTCTCCTCTTCCCCACAGGTCCGCTTTTGAGGAAGTTATGGTCCTTCAAAGACACCCTACTTTGCTGAAAATTCTCGCTCCATGGCTAAAATTGCCGAACGATCTGCGGTCACATCTGCAATTACATGCGCTTCTGCTACCGTACTCCAATAATCGGGGTAATGCATTTTTACGGCGGTTTGTATAACTGTTACGTAGTGAGACAAGCCTAACTTTCTCTTTTCCTCGTCCTCAATCTTGGGAATAGACGTTGTTAACACTGTGGTCGCTGATGGCCGCTCCCAGAGAGGGAGTCACGTCAGGTTAACGAATGCTCATTGAATTTAATCGCGATATATGACGTTATTCATTATCCCCCCCCTCAGACCAATGTGTGTTTCAAAACGGCCATCGAAGAAGTTCATCATACGAGTTTCTCATAATACGATTGTACCGTTTTTTGTTTGCAATCATCTCTGTATTGTTCTATTATGTCATGACTTCAAGTCGTCCATTTAGTATGGGCACCTTCATACAAGTAGAATTTCATAGTGGGCGTTTCATAGTTTCATTTAAGGCGAAAAAAACCGAACGGCAAAAAAAGGGGGGGGGGTCGTACCGAACCCCCAAAAAAAGGGGGGGGTCGTACACATGGCTCGACCCAAATCCCATCGAGGCGTGCCCTGGCCTCTACACAGTAGCATAAGGTACTTCGCCGGAGTAGAACGTACTAAAACCAGTTTCAAAGCTGGGGAGCACTGTTTAGTAGCCCAGCAAGCGCTCAGACGTGCTTGTCCACGCAGCTTCTCTTAGCCGTGAAAGGTAGTCAGTCTTGTTGCTGGCGTTGAAGGGATTTGGGCTGGGATTTGCGGCGGCCGCCAAATCCACCCCACTCCGAACAAGTCCTACGCGGTTGTAACAACCGATGGTAAACGGCTGCTTTGAATGATGTAATACAATCTTGTCGCTTGCCGAAAGAAAAAACGGGTTAGCGCTGTGCCAAATCCGTTCCTCTTGGCACGCTCCGTCATCTCGAACAAGGCTCTGCAGCCTCTCAGGCCGCGCGCCTGGGTTCCCACACCAAATGTTCAGCTCAGGTGATAGTGGTAATTTCTTCAAGCGCTATCCGAACAAGCAACAAGCTCAACAAAAATAAAATCCTCAGTGCAGGTCGGCCAGGAACATACTTCAGCGTCAAGTTCTCAGAGCTGAAACAGCGCTAAAGAGGCGCTAATGGCAAGACAACATTCTTCTCCCCACTTGAACGTGAGTCATATGTTCCCATAGGACTTTGACAAATACTCGTTATACATCCTCTTTTATTGCTTAATTCCTGCAAAACTATGTAAGACTTGTTTCCGATAGACCAGCAGGCCTAATTGACGTAGAGCCAAGGAGTGTTTGATGGAGCCTTGATGTGTGCGATTCTTCGGCCTGCGAGCTCTATAGCAATCTGTGCCTGCCAGTCACCCTGTAAAATTCAATTTTCGTTAGCGGAACTGTCAAACAAGTGAACTTTACAACAACAACAGGTTAAAAAACTGGAAAAACCAAAAAACAAATAAGTGCGGTTTCTCCAAATGTTGCAGGAGTGGGTATGATAACGTTGTGTTCATTGCGGATGCTGCGGCGTGTCAAGAGCCTAGATTTGGCGCGGCGCCAACCGTTCTCCACCCATTGTTGCCGCTTACGCCGATTCGGCACTTGGTCGCGAACTAGCTGGCGCCGCGCCAAACCCAGCCTCCCTGACACGCCCGATGCTCTGGGCCCCGCCCACCTTACGGGATCCTGGATTGGGTAGAATCAGGCAAACTGCTGTTTTCTCCTATCCTCAGAAATGTTCTCATACTTTTTTTTCCGTCAAGCCAGGCCTATCCTCAGGTCTGGCTTGACGGAAAAAAGTATGAGAACATTTCTGCTCTCATTCCCATCACTTCTGACGGAGAGGGCCATTCAGTTAGGATAAACCGAGACTTCCACGAGGGCGGGATAGCTCGTCCAGTTGGACGAGTTTACGAGTAAAATTCGAATCGAGTTCACGAGGAAAATTCGAATTCCATAAGCAGTTCACATCATTTTATCTCTTGGTCTGAGGGAACTCATGAAGAAATAGCAGACTCATTAGTAAGGGGAAAGCTTTTATGGGGGTTCTCTTTTGCTATGCTGCCTGAAAAGCTGAAAATCTGAAGTGCTCGTCAGGAGATCCATGTTGCGGCTGTGCGACGGAACGACACTGCAAGTGGCCGTGTGTGTGCTACCTTAGCTCGGAGACCTCGATTTGTTTACTCATACTCGCGGGAAATCTACTAGATGGCCCTACGCCGTAAAAAGGATCTCCTGACCTGCTTCAAGTACGGAGAAGATAGAAGCTAACCTGACGCACAATTGCGCCTCGACTATTACACAGTTCTTGTTTTCTCAGGCTTTTATAGGGGCTGAAGGGTGAGTGCTGCCTCGACACCAACTCGCCTTCACCCTAATAAGAGCCCCGGATTTGTCCAGAAGTTGTCTTCTAGGGTGGACAAAAAGTGAATAAAGATGAAGCACTACCATTTTTCTATGGGACTCGTAGAGAACTGTCACGCTTACCTTCACGACAAAAGTGTTCAAAGTGCTGCTGATTCCAGGGATATTGATAATGTTCGATTGATGAGCCTCCTTCTCAATCTGAAAACTGGCCCGTATAATCACTGAATTGACATGAATTCGGCAAAACCAGCCGATCAAGTTACTACCACTTACCACTTCCATGTCATAGCTGCCAGGGGTGCTAAGCATCTGAAGGAACTTGTCTCCAATATCTGGGTAGATGCTGTGGTGGCTAAATCATATACGGGTTGAACAAAGGTAAAGTGAATCGATGTTCGAATCGTTGAAAGTAAACGGACTGTCTGAATTCGGTCCTTCAAAAGCTGCTGGCACAATTGCTGGAGGTGGGCGGTTGTTGCCATCATAACTGGTCGAAAGGCTGAAGCAGGGCGTGCAGCCGAACTGCCCAGCGCCTTGAGGCTTGGGGGAGTGGCCAACTCCATTCCACCAATGACGCTAACAACAACGACCTGCCTCCAGCAGCCACCGTCTTGAAACCGCAAAACTTTTTGTCCTTGTATGTGCTCTCTTGCTACCACGCACTCCTTCCCATCATTTGTGCACCTTCTATCCTTATCATGCCCTGGATATCTTGGACACAATCCCTTTGACGACCTTATTTATACTCGAAATCCCTGAGATCGGGTAGGTGTGGCTGCATCCTTGAACTTAACCTGAAGGAGTCTACGCCTCTGGTAAGATATTTTCATCCTGACAAAATTGTTTTCGTGTCTTGTCCAACACAGAACAAGATGACAGTTGTCATAGACTGGAATATTACACGAGTAACCAGTTCCGTGCCATGTTCAAATGCCTACCCTGGCTCAGGGATAAGGAGTGTATCTGCTCATCTGCCCTAACTTG